CGTGCCCCTTAAGAAAAACGCAATATCAAACAACACAAAAAAATTGCAAAAGGTGTACGGTGAAACACAAAAAATTCTGTTATCTTGTATTTTCCCATGTTTAACTATTTCACCCAATTTTCACTATGTTCTGTATCTTAATCCACCTATCCCCTTTCACTGTCATTGTTGTTATTGTTGTTGCGTTGGCACCATGCTTTTTTCAAGCCGGTGGTAAATATGTATAGGGTTGGGTTAGAGCTTAACAAACTACCAACAACACACGTCGGGAACGAGAAAAGTGAAAATGGGTTCACGCGTAACCATGCAGTGCATGAATCCCAATTCGATTGCGCAACCCCCATCACCTACCATTCGAATCTCCGGTAACGTTGACATATTTGAATAACTCCATAAAACAGCTTACCTTTTTGCATCTCTTGGTGAAGTGTGTTCCTCTCTGCGTGTTTTGGTATCTAATGTGCAGTTTCTACAATGTGGAACAATAAACAATTTTCAACGTACACTTTACCTACCCTTTGGCATCTGAAAGAAACAATTCCAAATCCTTGATCATATCGGATACTGCAGCTTCATCGCCGGCACTGAATTCGGGAATCTTGGGTTTTACATCGATCTCATCCGGATGGATGAATTTCATGGTACCATTATCGCTCTGTTCGTTCCGTTTACAATCTTCTTCCTCGTCTAGTTTGCGCTAAATTGCCTCTTTCAGATGCCAAAGGGTAGGTAAAGTGTACGTTGAAAATTGTCTCTGACTCGAGGAGGGCGGACGCCAAGTGGCGTACTGGCAGTTGGAACGCCTGAAGTTCGTACTGGAAAGGAATAGGCAGTGGTCGGAACAGAGAGCCAACAACCGTTCCCCGTTTTAGGATCGACAGGAGTCTAGTCCAAAAGGACCACCCGGATGCGCCTCACTCGGAGCCAGTCGACGTACTCGAGCGTTCATATCGCCTGCTAAAATCACGATATCAGCCCGGGTCGCTTTACGCAAGAGGTCGTGCAGATTGTGATAAAATTCATCTTTGACTGTATCTGGGCTACATTCCGTGGGGGCGTATGCCGAACCGACGAACAAGTTTCGTCTATCGGGACAACGGCTGTTTACTTTGCACGCACCTCTAAGTCTCACTGCGCTCAACCTACTGTCGACTGGGATCCAGTCCAGGAGTGTGGCTTCAGCTCTCACTGAGAGCCACGCCCACGCCGGCGAGACCGGAAGCCGCAGCCTCAGGGTCCCCAGAAAGGCGCAAGTGAAACTTCGCTGAAGGGTTTGACGGGGACGTCAATCAGATAGTGGAGCTGGAGTCTTGAATGCGAGTTTCTTGGATGCAACACACGTCGATGGCTAG